CCTCTCCAAAATAAACACACCTGGATCTGCTGCAGGTCCTCAGAGGCGTAGCCCTGGACTTGGCTTTGGCTGGTTTCCGACTGCCTGAGAGATGATTTGGATACCCTTGCCCCCAGATAGCACAGACATCCAATATAACGTCCTCCTATGAGCCCTTTGCTGGGCAGAGGGAGCTGGGGTGTGAAATTCTCATAGCTTAATCTTCAGCGCCTAGATCAGAGTCTGACAAGTGGTAGGAGTGCAACAGGTTGTTGTGCTTGTGGAACAAAATGAGTGCATCTCACACTGCCCCAGTTTGCAGGCCAGGTATCACTATTCTCTCTCCCTTGACCTTCAGCCCAGACTGCAGGGCTTCCTTCTTTTGGAGATTTTGCAGTTCGACTCCACTAATTGTTTTGGACTGTGTATGTAGGGAGCGGTGGTGATTTACAAAGGCAAAGAAGACCAACTGACTACTAAGTGCTGATGAGTTAAGTTGGACCTGGCTTCAAGTCTGCCTTCTCCATTTCCTTTTGATAGTTGGGAAGTAACTTAGCTGCTCTCAGCCTCCACTCCTCATTATAGAAGGGTAACAGTATGTCAAAGGATTGTGGTGAAAATTGAGGCAATACATTGTACTTAGCACAATGTTTGACATGTAGCAAGCATCCAGTACAGGATACTACTACTACTGATAACTATTAATAGTCATTGAACTCATCCCAGGCACTATTCTAGGCATTGGGGATAGAAGAGTGAATAAGGAAAAGGACAATCCTACAGTATACATGTAAACTTTAAAAAGGACAATTCAAGTAGTGACAAGTGTTATGAAAAAAACAAGACATAGTGGTATTATAGATGACTAGAATGTGTGTGGAGGGGGGCAATGCTACTTTATTTTTTTTTTTTAAGATTTATTTATTTATTGGCTGTGCTGGCTCTTCATTGCTGTACGCGGGCTTTCTCTAGTTGCAGTGAGTGGGGGCTACTCTCCAGTTGGGGTGCACGGGCTTCTCATTGCAGGGGCTTCTGTTGTGGAGCACAGCTTCTAGGCACTTGGCTTCAGTGGTTGTGGCTCATGGGCTGAGTTTTTCTGCAGCACGTGGTGTCTTCCCAGAGTGGGGAATCGAACCCGTGTCCTGCATTGGCAGGCAGATTCTTAACCACTGGACCACCAGGGAAGCCCCCAGTGCTACTTTAGATCTGGTGTCAATGTCCTCACCCAAAGAAGTGAGATTTGAACTGAGACCTGGATGGCAAGGAGAAGCTAGCCAGTGAAGAGCCAGTGGAAGAGCATTCCAGGCAGAAGGAACTGCTAATCCAAAATCTAAAAGTGGGAATGAGCTTGGTATGTTCCAGAGGTGGAGACAAGGCCAGCACAGTTGGGAGTGACCTGAGGGCCACAGTGGCGGGAAGAGGGGCTGAAGACGCAGGCAGGGTCTTGGTTACAGAGGGCCATAAATGCTATCAGGATGAGTTTAGATGTTCCTCTAAGAGTTATTGGAAGCCTCAGGAGGAGTTTAAGCCCAGGAATGACAAGATCTTATTTACATTTAAGACAATCATTCTGGCTGCCCTGTGAAAAACAGAATGTGGGGGAAGGAGTGAAAGCAGGGACATTGATCAGGAAGCTATGGTCATGCTCCAGGCCACAGATGATGGTGCTCCAGACTAGGGTGAATGTGCCAACTCGGTCTATTTTCGAGCTAGAGCACACACGGAAGTGGGAGAGTGTGTGGAGAAACAGAGGTCACACAAGAATGATCCACAGTTTCAGGCCTGAGAGACTGGGTGGATTTTCAGAGATGAAGAGGAGGAAAGAGTTTGGGGAAAATTATCAAAGAGAACTCTTCAGCAGGCAGGCTATAATACAGCACAGTGACAGTACCAAGTGCAAAGCGTGGGTAACTCAAGAGCTGGTGGGGATGTGGGAGGGTTAGGTGCAGCATGGGATTGGAATGTAGTTGTTGTTCTTTTTAAACTTACTTATTTAATTGACTGTGTCAGGCCTTAGTTGTGGCATGTGGGCTCAGTAGTTGCTCCATGCTGGCTCAGTTACCCCAAGAGGTATCGGGGACCTTAGTTCCCCGATCAGGGATGGAACCTGTGTCTCCTGCATTGGAAGGTGGATTCTTAACCACTGGACCACCAGGGAGGTCCCTGGAACTGAGCTTTGAAGGAATGGACTTGGGAGGGCTGCTGGTTGGGTAAAAGGAGTGGTCTGAACACAAGTCTGGGCATGAATAGGTGCCATAAACTCATTTTCTTCAGATTTCTTTATATACTAGTTTCTGACATTAGAGGAAACTGAGACTCAGAAATTAAATGACTTGCCTGAGGTCATAGAGTTAGAAAGTGGTAAAATCAAGATTCTCCATTCCAAAGAAAGGGGGCTTAATGGTAGAACTGAACACAGGAGTACAGAACACCAGACAAATGGGGGCTGTAAGACATAAGATGAAAAGGTGAGGCTGGGCCAAATTGTGAAGGGTCTAGTGTGCTGCAACGAAGAGGCTGGACCTTATTTTGTAGATGTGGATGAAGACAAGCCATTGTGGGTTCTCCAGTGGACGAGGAGCATGATCAGCATCGTGATTTTGGAAAGTGCTGGCTGTCGACTGAAAAAAAAAAATGGCAAAACAGGAGCGCTGTGAGTTGTTTTATTTGGGGCAACATGAGGACTATAGTCTGGGAGAAAGTATTTCAGATTTTTCTGAAAAACTGCTCAAAGTGGTAGGAGGAAGTTCAGTATATATGTGACTTTGGTGAAAGGGGAGTACATGTAATCAGCCCATATTTTTTTGCAGAATGTGTCTGCCAGTGATGAGAAGCAGATGTCACTATGGAGGATTTTAGTTCTTTTATAGATACAAGGCGAGGCAAGAATGGGGCTCATGACATTGTCTCCTGAAAATACCTAACTAACTGAAGACCTATTCAGCCAGTTTTCCCCAGAGCACAGAATGCCTCATTCCTAATCTCCACATTTAACTCCTTTCAGGGAATGTTGAAGGTCAGTAGCAACAGTGGCTCATAATTTGATCCTTTGTAGAGACAGATGGCAAGTGACAATTTGCAGGTGACAATGGCTCCATGGCCAAAAGTGACATCTCGTAACACTATTATTTTTAAAAATACAGGTTCTAAAGATACAATGGCAGGCAAAATCAGACACAGTCTATGCCACACAGGACTAACAAATTAATCAAATAAGCATGCAAACAAGTGGAGAGCCTAAATCACAAAGAAGCAAATACACGACTGTGAGGTCTTTGTCAACTAAAAAAATGTTTAGAGTTGTGAGTCAAGTTTTATTTGGGGGCAAGATGAGGGCTGCAGCCTAGGAAAGAGCACCTCAGATAGGTCTGAAAGACTGCTCCAAAGAGGCAGTGTGGGAAGGTCAATACATAAGATTGTGGTAAAGGGGGAGTTCAATGCAATCGTGAGCTTACTTCACAAAAGGTTTTCTGCTAATCGCGAGGAACTGAGGTCACCATCAAGGGATTTAGTGCTTTTCTAGATGTGAGGAGATGCAAGGATTGGGATCATAAAATCAGTTCCTGAAAATATCTAACTATCTAAAGACCCGTTTCATCAGTTTCCCTGGAGCACAGAGTGCCTCCCTCTCCACCCCAAATTCCCTTTGGGGAGTGTTGGAAGGTCAGCAGCTGCAGTAGCATAGGCAGATGGCAAGGGCCCTTGTTGGTGCAGTTCAGTCGCTAGCAAAAGCTCTTGGCAAGTGCCAATTTGTAGTTGACACCTCTTAATAATCAAGATTTTACTTACATTGGGGATCAGTTCTCAAGATTTCCCCGATGAGACCTGGGGCATCCACTGATCCCAGTTCTAGGCTACACTATGCCCCTAAGCCATAGTGAACTAGAGCAAGTCATTGGACCTATTTCCCCATTTATGAAACAAGTCAGCCTTGTGTAACTCAATGAAACTATGAGCCATGCCATGCAAAGCCACCCAAAACAGAAGGGTCACAGTTGAGAGTTCTGACAAAATGTGGTCCGCTGGAGAAGAGAATGGCAATCACTTCAGTATTTCTGCCTCAAGAACCCCATGGACAAGATGAAAAAGCAAAAAGATAGGATACCGAAAGATAAGCCCCTAAGCAGATAGATGTCCAATACCCTACAGGGGAAGAAAGGGAAAAGAGCTCCAGAAAGAAAGAAAGAAAGTGTTGCTCAGTCCCTGTTCGAGTCTTTGCGACCCTAAAGATTGTAGCCCACCAGGCTCCGCTGTCCATAGGATTCTCCAGGCAAGAATACTGGAATGGGTGTAGCCATTTCCTTACCCAGGGGTCGAGGCCGTGTCTCCTGCATTGCAGGCAGATTCTTAACCGTTCAAGCCACCAGGAAAGCCTGAACGAATGAAAAGGCTGGGCCAAAGTAGAAACAGGGTTCAGCTGTGGATGTGTCTGGTGGTGAAAGTAAAGCCAGAAGAGATCCTAGATGATCTAGTTTCCATCCCATTCTAACGGCTTGGAATTTTCCTATCCAAATACCATACAGCCCACTCCAAAGTTACTGACATGGTGTCCTGACGTTAGAACGAAGTACTTCTAGCCCTAGCCTCTGTCCTTCCCAGGAGTCCTCTGTTCCCCGTTGTCAGGGTAACCGCCTGGGCCTTCCCCTGGTGGAAACTTGGACTGAAGACAGCAACTACGCCACTATCATGCGTCCTTTTCGCCAGGTTAAAATATGGCCACCGCTGCAACACCCTACCCAAGTTTCTCTCTCGAGACATACTCTAGAGCAAGAAAGGGAGGAACAGCTGCTCCAGCATAGCAAACAAGTTTTCCGGAATCCAACTCCGGATCCTCAGCTTCTCTGGCCTCTCTCTGTGAGGCACCAAACCTCCACCCTTTAGCGTCAGTTCCGTCGACTGCGTCCAGGATGGACAGTCTCATATCTACCCAATTAGAATAGGGCCCGCCCCCAGGCTCCAGAGGAGGCAGGTTTGACGCCTGGAAGCTCCGCCCCCCGCGGACGTGTGACGTCAGAGTCGCCATGGCCAGCTACCCTTACGGGCAGGTGAGTGTGAGGGGCGGGCGAATTCAAGTAGGGACCTCGCTAACTCCTGCCCGGAACCCCCTGCTTCGCTTTCTCCCCGCCTCCTCCGCGCCTTTCCCACGCTGAGGTTGTCTTCCGCGAGGTTGCGCAAGAGAGAAGGGAAAAGGGATGGTCGGTCGCGCCTGGCTCACGTCACGTAGGCATGCACGTCTGGGAGGTCGTGTCGCGCCCCCTTTGACGTTGCGCAAGGGAAGATTTGGGGCTCTTGGACCCCAGAGTCAGACTGCGCTTGGCCTGGGCCCCACAACTCTCTCAGGACTCCACCGGGGCCCGCAATCGGGGTCATCAACGCCAGCAGAACGTTTAGAGCACTGATTCTGTCGGTATCTTTTGGGGAGTCGATAAAAATACACCTCTGACGTACTGCATCTGAATAATCAGGAGAATCTGTGGTTTTAGCAGACTGCACAAGTGAGCTTGTCTGGCCACTGATTTAGTCCTGTACCTCCATTTCACACATAGAAAAAGTAAGACCCAAGAAGACATGGAATTTATCCGAAGTCGTTAGGCCCCAGAACCCGGAGCTGCCAGCAAATGCCTCTTCCCCACTTGCTAGCGCATCTTGATCCAGCCAAGAACGCCACAGCAAGGTGATTCTGTGGCCAGAACCCGTTGTTGGATGACAGAATGGTTGAGTGATCAAGTGCAGTTTGGAGTCAGAGGAAGGTTCACATCTTGGCTCCATCACTTAGTTTAGAGCCCTTAAGCAGGGTACTTTTGCCTTTCTGAGTTGAAGTTTCCTCCTCGGTAAAATAGGGCCACATAATAGGATCTGTTTCATAGAGCTGTTATGAAGAGTAATGAAGTGATGCTAGTAAAACCTTTGGTACAACTGAGAGTGTAACGGGTGTTAACCTTTTAGTATTTTTATTTTTCCTAGATTCCTAGAAGGTCAGTGCTGGAAGAGCCCTGAAAAGAGCTCCTTCATTTTATTAATTTACTTTTAAATGTCATTTATTTGGCTGCCTCAGGTCTTAGTTCCAGCATGTAGGATCAAGTTCCCCAACCAAGGATGGAACCTGGGTCCCCTGTGTTGGGAGTGCAGAGTCCTAACTGGTGTACATCTGAGAAGTCCCAAGTTCCTTCATTTTAAAAGGAGGAAACTGAAGCTCAGAGAGGGCTCCTGAGTTGCCCAAGATCACACTAATTTAGGAGATCAAACCCATGCAGGAAAAATTGGCAAACAGGGTCACATGGTCTATTACTAAGCGCTGTATGTAATCACATACCGAAAGATGTGGCAAGAGCTCTCTTAGGCAGTGCAGCCCTGTTCACAGTATTTGGACATCCATATTCTCAATCGTGAAGGCTCTATAAGCAGGCTCGCAGGAATAATTGATTCAAGTAACAACTCCGGAAAGAGCCCGAAGAGGTTGAGTGGCTTGCCCATGGTTGCACATAGCAAGTGAGAGAGCATCTGTGCTAGAACTTAGAACTTTTGTTGCATACTTAGCAGAGGTAGGAAAGAGAGGCCCGCCAGGGCTGAGATTAGGAGGAAGTATAACCAAACTCGGTTCCATTTTCTGAGGCTTGTGAGATGTTAACAAGTATTGCTAATGTGGGAGTATGGATAAATAAGTTTGGGAAATACTCTGTTAAATATAGCATAGTAAGTTTTTCATCACAAAGCATCTCAGAATTCTTAATTTGTTAATAAACATTGTATGTTTGCAGAGAGGGACAGAATATGCAGTGTTTCTTAAACTTACTTAACCACAGAAAGCTCCCCCTCCCTCTGTTTTGAATCTGGTCACTTTTTTAGTGACACTGGTATTCTTGAGGAATATAGTTTGGGGAAACATTGCCACGGTGCATTGTTTCCTGGTGGGTGGTCTGCATTAGAATTTTTAGGAGCTTGTTAAAAAAGCACGGTTTAGATTTCCACCTCAGACCTGTTCTGTACCCAGAAAAGGCCCAAGCATCTGCATTTTAATAAGCTTTTGGAGATCATTGGTATGCATCCTAGAAGCAGTGACATAGAAATTAGGAGCCTGAACTTCCAGATTAGACTGAATTGGGCTAGAATCCTAATTCTACTATTTAATATTTATACCCTTTTGGACAAATCATCTAAGGACTCTGAGTCTCAGTTTCCTTACTTGTAAAGAGGGAGGAATGATACTTCATAGGGCTGGAAAGAGGATGAAATATGGTAAAGCCTGTAGGCAGCTTGGTGCATTGCTAATGTGTAGTGTGTGCCAGCATGTGGTGGCATCGCTCTTGCTGCTGTGATCACTGTTATCATGCCTTGCTGCCTGGCCTTATGCTCAATGAGATAGTGAGAAGGAGCACAGAGAGAAATGTGCCTCGAGTAGAAGAAGAAATGCTTTTCCATCACCATACCTTTGTTCCTCCTATCCAGCTCCTGGTCCACAGTGTTGCAAGAAAGGAAGTGTGTTGTTTGAAAGCATCCAAAGAATTAGTACTGCCTCTCTTCCACCCAGTATGTAGCCCTGGAGGATTCTAGCCTCCTGTTAGGAATCAAAATTCCTGTAACTTTCCACTGCCTCCTGCCTGGGGCGTCCTCAAGCATGGACTGGGTGTTGGAGAAGTAAAACTCCCCAGTACCCTTTGGTCCCATCGGGGAGCCAGCCTAATGGATTTCAGTGCATAAGAGCTTGGTCTCTGAGACCAGAGAGATTTGGCTTCCAACCCCTCCACTCCCATTTCCTTGCAGAAATTTCCCGCCAAAGTCTGAGGCTTGGTATCCCCCTTTTTAAAAATGGGATCATGGGTGTACCTTCCTCAAGAGTTTCTGTAAAAATTAAATGAGATAATCCGTGTTAAGTGAGTGATACAGTGTTTTGACATGTAGTAAATACTCTAGGTGGAAGAGTGATACAGACACGTAAATTATAGAATCAGCGTGATAAGTATTAAATGGGAGTAAAAATCAGGCCTGCACAGGAGAGCTCCCTAACTCAGTCTTGAGGGAAGGAAGGCTTCTTAAAGGAGATGACATTTAAGCCAAAAACCGAATATCCAGTAGGAGTTGGCTGCATGAAGAAAGTATTCCTGTGGAGGGAGCAGTGTTCACAAAGGCCAGGAAGCAAGAGCCCAGTATTGTGGAAGAATTTAAGGAGATCAGTCTAGTTGTGAAGAGGAGGGGGAAGTGGTAAGAAATGAGACCAGAAAGGTAAGCAAGGACTAGATCTAAAAGGGCCTTATGTGCCTTTTTGAGGAGGGTGGACTTGTGAGGGATCTCCTAAAGAGTTTTATCCCATTTGTGTTTTGAAGCTGTTACCAGGGGGCACTATCAGGATGGGTTGAAGCAGGGAGACCAGTTTCAAAGCTATTGAAGTAATCCAGATGACTTGCAGCCAATTAAGCCGACTGGGCTCTTTCCACTGTGGGAGCCCAATGTGCCATGGCCGAAAACAGCCACCTCTGTAGTATATACAGCCTGTTGCCCTAAGGGACCTTGGCGACAGCCTTTTCCAGTGGACGTTCATGACTGGCATGCTGTCCCTAATCTAGCCTCCAAGCGGGTTATGTGCAGTGCCTTTAGAAAGCGCCAGGGGAGAGTGGCCAGGTACATTGGCCAAGTCATATGGTCCATCCGCACCAAGCCGTAGAACAAGGAGCATGTGATTGAAGCCCTCCGCAGGGCCAAGTTCAAGTTCTCTGGCCACCAGAAGGTCCCCATCTCTAAGAAGTGGGCATTTACTTGAGTTTAATGAGGATGAATTTGAAAACAGTGGCAGAAGAATGGTTCATCCAGATAGCTGTGGTGTCAAATACATCCCTAATTGTGGTCCTCTGGACAAATGATGTGCCCTGCATTCATGAGAGCCTTGGTGCTGACCCCTCCTTATTCATGCCCACCAATAAATCCTACTTTCCTGTCCAAAAGAAAAGTTATCCAGGTGAGAGAACAGTGACCTGGGGAACATGGAGCTGGGAGGTAGAAGTGCGAACATTTGGTGCCTGATTGAGGTGACAGAGGAGAGGAAAGTACAGGAGGGGTGCACCAGGGTGTCCCTTCATGCGATGGCACACAGAGGGAGGAGCGGATTTGGATGGAACATCAGGAGGCTGTTGGATATGAAGGTCTGCAGCTCAGAAGAGATGAAGCTGGAGAGAAAGATTTTTAGAGTGTCAGCACAGAGGTGGTAACTGAAGTCTTGGGACAATTCTTGGCTTGCTGTTAATTGGCTGCAGGCTTCTAGCCTTTAAATATTTTAGGATGTTCTGCTGGTGAACGCCCAAACCACTCCTTCTGTAATCTTGTGACTGTTTAACCCCTTAGAATGGGCTCTAGCCTCCTGCAGCAGGCTGGGGATGGCTCCAGAGCACAGGCTTGTCTTTGCAACACAGCCGACTCTTTCCCGTCAGCCTCAGCATGGACCAACCTTTGACACTTCTGAGCTTTACTAGCATCTTCAGGGTAGAAGAATGAGCTCTCAGAGCCAAAGCAAAGTGTAGGACTTTCTGATTGGGTTATTTAAGAGGGGGTGAGCTCCCCTCTGGGGCTTCCTCGGTGGCTCAGTGGTAAAGAATCTGCCTGTGATGCAGGAGATGCAGATTTGATCCCTGGATTGAGAAGATCCCTGGAGGAGGGCATGGCAACCCACTCCAATATCCTTGCCAGGAGAATCCCATGGACAAAGGAGCCTGGCAGGCTACAGTCCTTGGGGTTGCGAAGAGTCGGACACGACTGAAACGACTTCACATGCACGAGCTCCCCACCACTTACGGGAATGTAAGCACAGATTCCAGATGGTGCTACAGAGACTCCATCATTGATTGAAAGGTTGGACCAGGAGGGCTCTGGGGTCTCTTACAATACTGTGGCTCTTGAATTGAGTCTAAGTGCTGGAGTGAAAACAAGATAAAATTCTTCTGAATCTCCCTGATTTCTGGGCTTGAAAGCCTAATCCAGCCTTTCCCCCTTCAACCCTGCCCACTGTAGAGACCCATTATATTTGACACATATATTTTGGACAATCCCTGCCACTGGCGTGTGGTAGACTCTCACTCATTTATCGTGAACACGTACTTAGAAGAGGGTAGAGTGGGTGGAGTCATGCAGACCCTGTTTTAAATCTCACTATTTCTAGCTGTGTTATTCCAGGCACATGATGAAACTTTCTGGTCCTTAATTTTCTCATCTGTAAAATAGGGATCAATAGCCCTAACCTCATAGGACAGAGGATCAGTGAGAACCTTAATAAAATGTTAATTGCTCCCTGCCCCCACCCAAACTTATCAAATGTATTTTACTTGCAATCAGTAAAGACATAGGATTAGTTTGGAAAAGACCCTGATGCTGGGAAAGATTGAGGGCAGGAGGAAAGGGGGCAACAGAGGATGAGGTGGTTGGATGGCGTCACTGACTCAATGGACATGAGTTTGAGCAAGCTCCAGGAGATAGTGGAGGACAGGGAAGCCTGGTGCACTGAAGTCTGTGGGGTCACAAAGAGTTGGACATGACTTAGCAACTGAAAAATAATAACAACAACAAAGGGTTAGTTTTCTGTATTGTTTTGGAAACCATGGTTACTGAAATTTTCCTGTCTTTTTTCTCCTTTTTTTTCTTTTTTTTTTTTATAATCTCATGTTTATCACCATGTAATGCTCTTGGAAAAACCTCTTAAAGGGGTTGGCAAGTGACATGGAATAATATAAAAGGACATGGAGTCAGGAACTCTCACTCCTGTTTCATTTCTGGTTCTGACCTTTACTTATAACTCAGTGGCCCTGGGAATCGTCTTCCCCAGCCTGGATCCTGGTGGTTTTACTTTCTTCATCTTATGATGCAAACTAGAAACCTGAGTCATCCTAAACACTTCCCCTTCTTCACTCCTCCTTCCATCGCTTCCCTAATCTAATTAGTTGCCAAGTCATGTCTAGTCTATCTTTGAAATAGCTCCAGAATCCATCCTGTTCTGAGTCTGCTGTCTGGTTCAGACTCTGCTTGTCCAGCACTTTGGCTGCTTCCTCCCCCGCAAGCTCATCCTCCACACCCTCTGCTGCTTAGTTCTCTAAACAAGGCTGTGATCACGTTTCTTCCCTGTTGGAAACCGTCCTATGGCACTCTGTTTCCCCTGGCATAAAGCTCCACATCTTCTGAGTGGTATTCATTTGTTCACATTTTTACAGAGGCTTGCCAGTGCCAGGCACTGTGCTGGACACTGGGGTGCTGTGATCAATGAGGCCCAGTGTCTGCTCCAAGGGAGCTCACTGTTTTGTGACAGAGAGAAATTCTTCTAAGATGCAGGTCCCCACCAGCTAACCGAAATGCAGCAGGAGAGGTGATGGGACAAGGAGCACGTAAAGAGCTTGCCTTTCTGAGTTCACACTGCATTCTTGCCCCTGCCCCCTGGTTTTTAGCCCACTCCCTGACCACTCCATGCTCGCACTTAGGTCTGTGCCTTTGTCTGTCTTCTCCCTTCTATCTGGGATGTCCAGTTTCCTTTTGGAGAATTCCTGTGCGCCAGACTCTGCCTCCTCCAGGAAGCCTTCCTTGAGCCCCTGCCTGCATGTGTTCCTTTGATTGCTTATTTATCATTTGACAAATGGAACCAATTCCTCTACCCATGCCTCTGAAAAGCATTTAAGTCGATTTTTCTGATGACATTGATCAGATTGTATCACAGTTACCCCGGGCTCTTCAAGGCCAGGCCCTGTTCTGCCTAGCACAACTTAACATTATTGCTCTGTAAAGTCTTAGTGAATGAATGAAGTCTTTTAACAGTTGTCCACCTCAGTTTCTGAAAATAGGCCTTCCTTTTTCTCCTGTTAAAGGATTGTTGGTGGGGTTTTGCAGTAGCGTTTATGTATGTATGTGAAGGTGCTTTGTGAACTGTACATCTGAGGGCTTTAATGCAGGGCAGAAAGGGAAGGGTTTAGTTGCCATCAGCCCCCAGGACTGTGACAGCGCCAAGGTCAGAAGCCCTGCTCGGACAGCCCTCGCTTGATTGTCGTGGAGGCGTTTCCCGAGGTAAGGACTATGCCTCAGATGTCCTCAGCCAGGAACAGTTTACAGCTCCGCTCACAGGAGTTCTTGGGAGCAGCGGCTCCCTGGCTTCTTGTCCAGCCTGTTCTTTGGTTTGCCCAGCCCCTGCGGAGTCCTGTCCACTTTTCTAGCCTACCCTGGAATCCTGTGCCCTGTTGCTTAAGGAAAGAGCACTGTCGCAGAGGCAGTGGGAGACACTGGGCTAGGCTGTGAACAGGGAGTAGTCTGCCAGTCCCTTCCCTGCACCTGGCCTTAGCTTCTTGTCTGTGAGCTGGAGGGGATCGATTGAAGAGGTTCCCTGCGCATGTCTCCAACTCCATTGGGAATCTTTTAAAAATTTTATCTGTTTGTTTTTGGTCATGCTAGGTATTTGTTGCTGCACATGGGTTTTCTCTAGTTGTGAATAACGGGAGCTGTTCTTCCTTGCAGTGCTCAGGCTTCCTGCTGAGATGGCTTCTTTTACAGAGCATGAGCTCTAGGACGCATGGGTTTCAGTAGTTGTGGCCGCACAAGCTTAGTTGCCCTGAGGCACGGGGAATCTTCCACCAGGGATCGAACCTGGGTCCCTTGTATTGGCAGGCGGATTCTAAACCACTGGACCACCAGGGAAGTCCCCCTTTTTATTCTTTGTTGGTCCCATGGCACCTGGCTTATGTGTCCATTTTAAACAGCTCTTTCCTCATGCTGCGTTGTTAAATGTTACAGAGAGTGTGTCCGTGCTCCTTCGAACATTTCCCTCTCCTTTATACACTGCACCGCGCCTCCTGCACCCCCCTGCCCCGTGCCAGTTTACCTGGCTCAGAGCTTTGCTGATAGTAATAATAATAATTAATACAACATTAGCAGATATGATTTATGCTAACAGTTGTTAGAACTGTTCGTCTTGTGTTAGTGCTTTTCAAAATGCCTTTTGAATCACAGGGAAGGTTTTGCAGGGCTCACTCACAAGCTCAGGGAGGGTTTGCGAGCCCGCCTGACTGGGGCTCCGGAATCCCCACCTCCAGCCACAGCAGCTTTCTCTTGTGAGTTTTTCGATTTGTATTTATCAGAAGTTTCTTTAGCTAAAATTTAACAAAAGCTGTATACATTTCTTGTAATCTGTGGAACAAGTCAGTGAAGAAGGGATTATTACGTATTTTGCTTGTGGGAGAACAGGCTTAGAGAGATTAAGCCACTGGCACATGGTCATGAAGTCAGCTGATGAGAGCAGAGTATGGAACTGAGATTTGCCTGTGACTTCATTTTCTGTGGAGGAGTCTTGCCATGAGCTCTGGCAGCTTCCAGGGCAGAACAGCGCCCACGGTGCAGAGTGGGGAAGGGCCTGCCACCCACCCTCCCTCAAGAAGCTTCTCTTCCTTGAGTAGGCAGCCCCTCTTTAGATCAAGTGTGAATTTGGCCTCAGCCTTGAGGGTAACTGTCCAGGAAGCCATCAAACACAATTAAAAGAGAAAGTCCGGGTTCACACTGGCTAGGCCACTGGTGGTGGGTCTACGACTTGTCTAGATGGTGCATCCTCACAATTTTTGGAGCTGGGCCCAGCTGCCGTTTGTGCCCTTGAACTCAGCCCGCGTGCAGAGCCTTGAGGCTGTCCTCCGCTAGGCCTTTTGCCAGCCTGTTAGGGAGATGGAGCCAAACACTCTGAGTCTCAGGGGTCCCTGACTAGTGGTGTGGAGACATGATCAAGAGAGGGAGTGCTCCCATGGAGGCTCTACTGTACCCATGGCCCGGGCTTAGCAGCCAGGAGACCTGCATTCTGGCCCCAGCCCTTCCACACAGTTTTGTGTGATTTTTCTGGACTGGAGTTTCCTTCTCCATAGGGGAGTGCTACTACTAATAGCTAATGTGTATTGAGTGTTTTGTGCCAGGGTCTCTGTCAGAACTCCTTACGTGATAGGCCTCATTTCATTCTCATACTAATTGGTAGGCAGGCACTTTTAAAGCAAAGAATATTGAGGTTTAGAGAGGCTAGTCATTGGACCAAGTAGTAAATGGCAGAACCCCAACTTGAACTGCTCTTTTTCACTCCTAACCATTGTCCTATATTGCTTTAGGAATAGGGTCTTGCCTGCCTGTCTCACAGAGCCATGGGTGAGTCCGAGGAAATGTTTTTGTATAATGAGTTAGAGTACAGTAAGGAAGACGTGCTCTGGGTGAATCCATGCTATGGATGCACCATATTGGTGACTGGGAGGGTTGGGGGGGGGGGGCGTTGCTGGAGATCACATTTGTGCTGTGAATTCTGCAAGTAGAGGTGGGGGTACTGTAGAGTGTGGATTTTGAATTCAATTTGATTCATTTGCCTGCTCACTGATACAGTCAGTACTCACTGAGCATCCATTCTGCCCTGGGGGCTGGGGATAAAGTGGCAAGCCAGTCAGGATACCAGCCCTTGTGGAGCCTCTTGGTGTGCAGGGAAGGGCAGGTTTCCAGGGGAGCCAGGAGAGCAGGTTTCCAGCCCTGCCTCTGCAGGTCATGCATGGGCAGTGTGACTGGGTAAACTGTATGTCTCTAGAAGCCTCAGGTTCCCCATCTGAATCGTGGGATCATGAGTCCAGTCCAGCCTGTAGGATCAGTTGAAAGAAAGGCCGTGGCAGGGCTTTATAACTGTAAAGTGCCATGCCATGGCTAGTTTCTGGCCCTGTCCTTCTGACCGATGTCTTGCTCTTCTTGCAGGGCTGCCCAGGAGCTGGAGGACAAGCACCCGGAGCCCCTCCGGGTAGCTACTACCCCGGACCCCCCCATGGTGGAGGGCAGTATGGGAGTGGGGTACCCCCTGGTGGTGGATATGGAGGAGGTCCTGCCCCTGGAGGGCCTTATGGACCACCAGCTGGTGGAGGACCCTATGGACACCCACACCCTGGGGGGCTCCCTTCTGGAACTCCAGGAGGACCCTATGGTGGCGCAGCCCCAGGGGGCCCCTATGGTCCACCACCTCCAAATTCCTACGGTGCCGGACCTTATGGACAGGGACCACCTCCTCCAGGTAAGTAGGCGTCTTGGACTCCAGGTGCCTTGAGCCTTGTTCTGAGTTATCCAGGGCCCTTGTGTGCCCTTCTTGTGGATGCACAGGCAGCCTGCTCTCTGGCTTCTAAGCATCTTGTCTCTAGCTTTGCTTGCATTAGCAGAATGAGAAGTCAGTTAATTAGCTTTGCTGTGGTGACAACAATTCTGGAATCTCTGGCTTACAGCAACAAACGTTTATTTCTGTTCCTCGCTCACACTTATTTACTCTTGCTTACACGTCAGCAGCTGCAGGCTTGGCTGCTGAGGTTCTGCTCCACGTGCCTTTTCTTTCCAGGATCTCGGCTAGAGACACAGCCGCCGTTTGGGGTATGCTGTTTCTGTGGCAGGCAAAAAAAGCAGGAGAGCTAGGAGGAATGCACAATGACTCCTAGAGCTTCTGCTCTGAAGGACTTTATATCTCTTCTACTCAGGTTTATTGGCCAGACCACATCCCCTGGTCAAGCCTGGCACAGTAGGATGGGAGTGGATACTCCTCTCATTCGAGGGTCTCTGCAGCCCCCCGAGCAGTGGAGAGGACGTACCATGCTCTTGCCAGGAAGTGGGGGAAGGGGTGGATTCGCCAGTCATTGGAGACAGTACTACCATCTGCTGTGGGAAGGAACCCCATTTCTGTGTAAGGGAGACTGACTGCTATACGCAGAAAGGCATGGTAGCCTAATTGCTGAAAGCTTGGACTTTTGAGATAAGATCATTTACTGACCTGACCACATTACATCATCTCTTTAAGCCTCCATATCCACATGTGTAAAATGGGTAAATGTCAGTACCTCACAAGATTGTTAATAAAGATTAAGTGAGAGATTGCAGTAGACACTGGGCACAGTGTCTGGCACATGGGAGGTGCTTACTAAACAGTGTTCTGTCAGAGGGCTCATTCTGGAACATTCTCAGCAAAGAGGTTTTCAAAGAGGTATTTAATGTGACAGCAGATGCGGCAAGGGCTGTACCACTGCAGGATGCCGAGGCAGGCAGGGGAGTGGTGAGATGAGATGGGGAAGGATAAAGAGCAGAGGCGGTGAAGGTGAGCTCCTGAACACGTGGGGCCTGGGGAGGGGGCTTGGCAACTCAGTGGATGTGGAGAAGCTTAGGTGGGGGCTTCAGGCTTACTGAAGACTTCTGAGTGGTCTCAGACCAGGTGTCAGGAAAGGTGAGTGCCCAGACCGCTGTGTCCTCCCAAACTCATTCAGTGAGCCTGTTCACAGAATACTTGTTCTGAGGAGTCCGCCCTGGCAGTGAGGCAGCCTGGCACCACTCTGGTGCACCTGAAGGGCCTCCAGGGGGTGGTACTGCAGGGAAACTGCAGCATCTTAGTATACAGACCGTCAGGTGGCTGGGGGAGAGGCTCAGACCTTGGGGGTTCTAAACTCTGAGAGCCAGTGGCATTTATCTTGTCAGAGCCGGAGCTGCTGGCTATTTGCTTTCAGCTCAGCAGCTTCCTGGTGGATTTCCTCCTCCTAAAATTTTGTTTCTGAGCCTGCATGTGGTCCCAGCAGGGGAATGGAACCCCTGTGGCTGTGAGGCTCACTCCTCCAGGGCCTAAGGCCAGAGATACTCTCTGGGGCTGCCAAGGAGAGGAGAAATGTGCTTCAGACTGTTAACTGCTCACCCTCTGCAGCTGCCTCTCTCCCAGCCACCATCACCTCCCCCCGGGGCCGCCCGTGAACCCCTGGAGCAGTGCTTCTTGAAGCATGATCCTTACATCACATGCACTGGTGTCACCTGAGGGCCCATCTTAGTGCTGCTGAATCCAGGGTCTAAAAGTTGAGCACCATGCTCTGCCATAGAGGTTTGGCCCTTAAAGTTGCCCTCACTGCCCACAGGGAGATCCGGGGGCATTCGACTCCAAAGGGCCTCTCCAGCCTCTCACCTGCAGCTGCCCCTCCCTCCCATCACCCCAGGACCCCGGGGAATGCTCTCTGAACACACTGTGTGCCTTTGCAGATGGCTTTTCTTTTCCCCCTTGTAACTCTTTTGTCATCCTTTCAGACCCAATTTTAAAAGCCCTTCCTCTGTGAAAATGTGACTGCACACATTCCAGGCCCTTTGTGAAGAGTTTATTTTGCTATTCTGTCACTTAGTCATCACAGAAACCCTGGGAAGTAGGTCCAATTTAGAAATGGAGGAATCAGTACTGAGAGAATGGAATGGTTTCTCTAAAGTCACGCAAGCTAGTAAGGATCAGAGCTCTTTGCTTCCAAAGGCTGAGCTCTTCTCTGCTGATTGCAGAGACCACGTGTTCCAGAGACTCTTCTCCCCTGCCTATGGCCTCCTCTCCATGTCTGGCACAGCAGCTGTTTTTTTAGGAAAGCAGGTGGGGCCTGTCGGGATTTTCCATCCGAGGAGGTCAGCCTAGTCCCTCAGTCAGGCAAATCTTTTTCCTTCCGGCCTCACTTAGGAGACTGGGCGGTGGTTTGTGTGCAGTCTCTGATACTGCCTTGGGCCAATGAGCCCTTTTTGTGGCCAGTCAACTCAGCAGGTTTACCAATACTTCGGCTTTTTCCCAAGACGGTCTTCTGTGCTTCTCCGCTTTCATCTGCCACCCTCTCCCCTCACCCCCAGTGCACCCTGCAGTCACCTTTCCAAATGCATGATCCTTTCTTGCATCTTCTGACACGCACACAAGCCTCCCAGACACACAAAGCTGTTTGAACCATGACAGCGACACTAATAATCAGCAGTTACACAGTACTTAGGTGGTGCCAGGTGCTGATCTGAGGGTTTCCATGTATTTGTTATATCTTCATAGTAACCTTATGAAGTAGGTGCTATTGTGTCCTCACTTCACAGATAAGAAAACTGAAACACAGAGAACTGTATAGAACTTAGCCAAGGCCGCACTCGGGAGCGCTGAGGCTTGAACCAGGAGGCCACCTCTAGCGGGAGCTGAGTGCCTCCCTTTTCTGTGTCCTGCTGTGCCTCTGGGGATTCAGAGATGAGTTAGGCTTGGATCTTGCCCACAAGTTGCTCCAAGTATAACCTGGAAGAAGTAGGGAAAAACGTGTACACAGAAGAGTGATCAGGGCTCTAGAGTGAAGGGGTACGAAGGAGAGAGGAAGGAGGTCTGTCCAGGAATGGAAGAAGAAAGGCTTTAAGGAAGGAGCAGCATTTCCTTTGAGTTTTGAAGTGTGGATGGGAAATGGATGCAAAGAGGTGCGGGGGAAGGGGATGCGAAGCAGAGAGAACCCAGGGTGTCAGGGCTGTGCGGAGGGGCTGGGCAGCTCTGGGGAGGAGCAAGTGCCTTACTGCAGCTAGGCTGGCACAGAGGGTGGGAGACAGACCGACAGACAGGGGTGGGGAAGCCAGTGCTGTTTTAGGGACACTGGACTTTTATGTTGTAGGCAGTGAGGCACCTTTGAAGAGTTTTGAGTTTAGGGAGGGGGAAACTGATGAGAACAGAGTGGGATTTTGCAAAGATTACTCAGCTACAAGTGCTGGTTGCCATGTGGGGAATTCAATTAGGATTTGGGGTTTGTTCCACAGTCAGGTGAGAGGGGTCTGAATCAGGGCAGGTGCAGTAGGAACAGGGAGGAGTTGATAACTGTGTGTGGAACTGTCAACTTTGGGCAGCTATTTGGATGTGTGGGGTGAGGAGGTGTCAGAGATGTCTGTGGGGGAGGTTTGGAGCTGAGGACCATTGGAGGCGACGGGGAGGGAAGAACAATGGAGCTCCATGGCCACCCACACTCTGGTAGGTCCAGATAGGATATGCCTGCTCTTGTGGTGCCAGGGCAGTCAGAGATGGACCAGACCTGGTTCCCACCGCTGAGTGCTCCCTGCTTCCTGATGCTCAGGATGCTTGTCTCTGGGCTATGCGTGTTAGGTGCTCAGCCAACAGTTTTGGGTCCCTAGTCTGGGAGGGAAGAGATGATCCCCCTTCTCAGAGGATTCTTAATCTGACAGGCAAGTCCCTGTTTCTTAGAAACTTAAAATCAAATAGGGGAGTGGCTGGAGCATTATAGGAAAAGCCTGAAGGGTTTGTGGAGTAAGATTTAACGCGTTTACACAGAGGGTCATCTTCCACTAGAGGAGGGGTGTTGTCTTGATGGAAGACAGGGATGGGGCAGACAGACCTGTGAGGCTTTCAGAGCAGGGAAAACCTGTAGCCAGGGAGGTGCTGAGGCTGGCCCTTCCCGGCATTTCTGCAGATTGGTCTTGAGACCTGCATCTGACTGTCCTGGTTGGCACCCCTTCCTGCAGGTGGCGTCCCTCCCAATGTGGATCCCGAGGCTTACTCCTGGTTCCAGTCAGTGGACTCTGATCACAGCGGCTACATCTCCATCAAGGAGCTGAAGCAAGCCCTGGTCAACTCCAACTGGTCCTCGTTCAATGACGAGACGTGCCTTATGATGATAAGTGAGTCCTAGCCCTTCCCCATGGGCTCGAGCGGGGGTCGAGCCCCCTCCTGTCTGGCAGGAGGCAAATGGAAGGCTGTTCTGAGTAGAATTCTTTCGGCCAGGGAGGATTTCAGGCAGGAAACTGGGTTCACGATGAGATAGCCTTTAAACTGAGAGCTCTTTTCCTTAGGTGTTTTCTCAAGTTCTGGACCTGGCTGAGTCACAGGCCAGATCGGTTTCTCGTTCTGCAGGATGGGACTGCTTGTCCTGGTGGGTGATGGCAGGGAGGGGGTCAGCCGCCAAACCTGTGGAGACGATGCAGTTCTGGCAGGGGTGGGGCTGGTATAGTGCTTGATGAGGGTGCATCTTGGGTGCCAGTATCTGGGCCTCAGGCCTGTGGTTCTCTGGAGTCTCCTACTCCAGCCTGGGGGGGACGGGCTACCTGAGTGGTACCTGAGGACCCTGGACCCTTAGTCTTGATGCCTTCCTTCCCTTCCCTCTCAAGACATGTTTGACAAGACCAAGTCAGGCCGCATCGACGTCTACGGTTTCTCCGCCCTGTGGAAGTTCATCCAGCAGTGGAAGAACCTCTTCCAGCAGTATGACCGGGACTGCTCGGGCTCCATTAGCTACACAGAGCTGCAGCAAGGTAGGGCCTGGCAGGGACTCGGTGCACAGCCACAGCGGACCTTGCTCGTTACTCCCTAGGACAGAGCAGGGGGTGCTCTCTGCCTTCTGGCCACCTCGTGTCCCACTGCACTACAGAACGCTGCCCTCAGCACAGGCCCCCTCCCCAGCCCGTCTGTGACCCGGCTGGACAGTGAGCCAAATCCCGGGCAAGGACATGAGCAGGGCTGGACTCTTGACAATGAAATTCCTCGCAGCTCTGGGTCAGACAGATCCAGCCGGCAGGGAGCCTTGGGGATGGAAACGCAGCAGCCCAGGGCACCTTAAGGCTGGTACGTGTGGCTTGTGTGGCTCTTGCCTCTTGAGTTTCTAGCGTGCAGAATGGAAAGAGCCCTGTAGAGGGCTCAGAAAGATGGCTTCTGTCGCTGGCTCTGGTGGAAGGCAGTTTCCTTCCCAGAGTACTCTAAACGTTGTAGTTGGGTAAGGTGGCGTGAGGTCCCAGCTCCAGGTCTGGTTCCACGTCTGACTCTAGAGGACAGTTGGTTAGTGTGGTTGATGAGAACTGGACAGGGAGCTTTCCCAGCTAAGAGGGAAAAAGCATTCCCCAGAGCACCCAGCTCATTGCCCTGGCCATGGATTTCAGTCAGAACGAGGAGCTTGGATACAGGGGGAGAAGGGAGCTCCCTGATAGAAGAGAAAGGAGGAGATTTGTCCTGAGCACCTACCCTGTTGAGTGATGATCCAGTGATGGATGTTTGTAAGGGTGATATCATCACAGGAAAGCTAGTACTTATTGAATCTTTGCTATGGGCCAGGCACTGGAATAAGTTTTTCTCCTGTGTTACATCATTCTGTCTCCACATGTGATAGGTACTGTTCCTTATTCCCCACCCTTAGATGAAGGATCTCTTATTATTACCCTTTTACAGATGAGCAAACTGAGGCCTAGTCTAGAAAACTTGCCCAAGGGCCACATGGCAAAAGGGGAGCTGAGATAGTAGCCTGAGGGGGTAGATTATACCGAGAGGGGGAAGGGAGCATCTCAGCTGGGATGGGGGGATGTGGGGAGCAGTGTGGAGGCTGCGACCTTGGAACTGCCCTGCAGCCTCACCTGGGGGAGATGGGATGATTTTATTACTTTTAACAAATAACACTTACCTTGAGTGTTTATTATATGCCAGGCCCTATGCCAAGTCCTTTGCATGATCACCTCCTTTAATCCTTACTAGAACCTACAAGGTAAGTATTACCCCATTTTAGAGATGGTAAGACAGAGGATTAGCAAGGTTAATAAACTGCTTGCAGAGGGGCTATCAACTCCAGAGCAGGCCCTCATAGCCTCAGCTGAGCTGCCTCTGATGTCTGTCAGCTTGGGCAGGATGGCCCAAGGGGGCTCAGGCTTCCATCTGTAATACAGACAAATCAGAGATGAGCATGTACAGACTGGTGTCATTCTGGGGCCCTGCGGGCCCCTAACTAAACAGACAGTAGAGACCTTGAGAGCAAGCGATGGGGGCCTTCCAGCTCCGGGGAGCACCCAGAGCTCCTGCTGTGCTCCTGCCATCTCGGACGTCTATCCCGTTTCCGCTTTGGTGCCAGTCCCCTTGAAGTTCCTGAACTGCGGTGCTCTGTGGAGCTGGTCGATGGCAGTGCTCACGGCAGGCTTTTGTGTCTGATCTGTGTGCCCCTCCTCTCCAGCTCTGTCCCAGATGGGCTACAACCTGAGCCCCCAGTTCACCCAGCTCCTGGTCTCCCGCTACTGCCCGCGCTCCGCCAATCCCGCCATGCAGCTGGATCGCTTCATCCAGGTGTGCACCCAGCTGCAGGTGCTGACCGAGGCCTTCCGGGAGAAGGACACAGCTGTGCAGGGCAGCATTCGGCTCAGCTTCGAGGACTTCGTCACCATGACAGCCTCTCGGATGCTATGACCAGCCCACCCGCAGAGTGGGGAGCGCGCCAGTCGACGACATTTCCTGGCTTCTAGGGTGGGAGAAGCATGTGGGCCTCTCTTCCTTTCCTGCCCCTCCTAGAAAAAGAATTCTCCCTCGCATGATGCAGCAGTGTTCCCAAAGAGTGCTGGGAGTCTGTGTCATGGCCACCAAGTAGCGGGGGCCTCAGCTGAGGCCACACAGGTAGGGCCTGACCAAGGACTGCAAGTTGAATGTCCTTACACCCCTGACCATTTAAATGGCACATCCTTGAGCCAGTTGCGAGAGATGCGAGTCACAGCTGTTAGTGTCCAGTTGGCTGGCTCCAGCCTCAAGCTTTTCCTTCTGTACCCTGATGCCAGTGGTAAGTATTCGTCAGCCTCTTAGCATTAGCACCTGCATTCCCTCACCTGTGCTGTCTTGTCAAATGAACCCCATTTCTCCAAAGCAGTATCTGACCAGGGTAGGGGTGAGAGATCTGCCCATGGGACCAGTGGCTTGGATTCCACCCCCACAAGGCCGTGTGTGGTTGACTTCTAGCTGCCCAGGGGTTGTTCCTGCCCAGGGAGCTTGGGCCGTCTGCTCTCTGGGCATCTTTGGCCAGGCAGCTCGGACCCCTCACTTGCCTGAGTCTTCTGCTTGGCTTCAGCCTCCAGGCAACAAGTTGCCACCTCCCACTGCCAATGCTTTATTTAATTTGTGGTTTTTTTTTTTCATTTGGGGCCAAAAAGCTCATGACACCATAAGCTTCAATATAAGAATAAAATTCTGGAGTTCCATGTTTTTCACCACACTTTCCCAGTTAAAGGTCCATGTGTGTATCCATTTAGTCACTCATTTACTTCATTCAACGAATATTTAAGTACATATTATATCCAGTGGTCTCCAGCCTTTTTGGCACCAGACACTGGTCTCATGGAAGACAATTTTCTCACGGATGGGGGAGTGGGGAGGAAATGGTTTCAGGACAATTAAAGTGCATTACATTTATTGTGCACTTTATTATTATTGGGTTTATCTGGTGGTTCATAGGGTAAAGCGTCTGTCTGCAATGCAGGAGACCCGGGTTCAATCCTTCAGTTGGGAAGATTCCCTAGAGAAGGAAATGGCAGTCCACTCCAGTGTTCTTGCCTGGAGAATCCCATGGACAGAGGAGCCTGGTAGGCTACAGTCTACAGGGTCTCAAAGAGTCGGACACGACTGAGTGACTTTGCTTTCACTTTCTTAATATGATTCCATCAGCTGCACCTCAGATCATCAGGCATTAGATCCTGGAGCTTGGGGACCCCTGCTATGTACCACACTATGCAGAAAGAAACAGCTCAACAGGCATGGCCTTCGGGGGGCTGCTGTCACATACCTGGGTGAAGTTCATTGTCGGGGCCTGCCTGGTTCAGTCCAAGGGGCTGACTGTGTGTTTTATAACAGTTTTTGGGCTGGCATTCCGGGCTAGAAGCCACCACCCCAGACTTCTCACAGCATGGCCTTTTATCATCTCAAGACCTGGTTTTATCTTCCAGACAAACTGCATTTATGAAGTCATAACTTTCCCCCCATTTTTATTAAGCACAAACATCTGTACTTACCAGCTGGATCTTCAGCATGATAATCAGCCTACGCCAAATGTCTATAGTGATCTGACAAAATCTCAATCAAAAGCCAAGACACCAGACATTCTGGCTTGCCTGGGAGACTTGATGATGGGTAGTGGCAAGCTAATCCTTTCACTCTGGGGGGTGAAGATAAGCAAGCCAGGCTGTCCTCCATACTTGGCTGGGGAAGCGGCTCAGTGAGGCCAGCAGGTGTGTCAGGCTGAGCCAGTTCAGCCCCATTCTCCTCTGGCTGCTGTTGTGCTAGAATCCTCGAGTTAGATGGAGTCCAGTTCCCAGAGGCCAGTCCCCATCTGGAGCTAGAACCCCCTCCATTTACTCCACCTTCAGTCTGGCCTCTGCTTGCCAACCTCCAGTGACAATTCAGTGCCTTTCTGGGCAGCCCGTTTCCTCCTTGACTAATAGGGGCTTCTCCCTGAAGTGGATCCCACATCCTGCCACCTTGGAAATACCACTCATTGGCTGTGGTTTTCTCTCTCAGGCCACCCAGAACCTGTTTCACCCTCTCAGCACGCCAGCCCCCTAGGTAGCTGCAACCTGTCACTGCATTTCCCCCGGGCCTCCCTTCCCTAGGTCACATAGCCCTGGGCTCTTCACTGAGCTTCATCCCAGGTGACCTCTGAATTATCCGAGGCCCCCAAAACAGAGGCCTGAGGCCCACCACGGTGCTGGTCTCAAACAGCAGAGAATCGGGTAAAAGTGCAGACATTAGGGGAAGCTTCTGTTGTTTCTTTGCTCCACCGAGCCACGTGTCTACTGAAACCCACATGTAGAACAGTGCCAGTCATGTGCTGGCACCCTCACGCTCAGCTGGGACTGAGGAGCCCAGGACCTGGCTGCGTCCTTATGGTCATGGTTGGTTCTAGACTTGGGGGCCAGCCCTCACACCTCAGTCTACCACACCGCCCCTCCAAGCCTGGCTACAAACTTGACAAACAACTTTGGATCCCAAGGCATGAGGGAGGAGAGTGGAGAATGGGTGGGACACCCCACATCCCGCCTGGCAACCACTCACAGGAGCTGGGCTGACAGTCCTCTGGAGGGTGAGATGCCAGGCGCAGACCACTCCCTCCACCTGCTCTGCCCACGAGGATGGGTGCTGACGCGTCCTGGGCTGGGTCCCTGGCAGGAGCTGCATTTTGCCCCATTTTCTGACGGGCGAGGTCATTAATCAGGTTAAGCAGAGCCAGCAGTGCACAGGGCCGAGCCAGCCTCTGCCAGCTGTCTGCTGCTCCTCCCAGCAGAGAGCCCTTCAGACGGCGTCCCACCTCCTGCTCCGGCCATGAGGATCAGGGCCTCCAGCCGCCCTCTAATCATCTGGTAGCAGATGGAGCCTGTCGAGCCCAGTCCCTGGCTTTCTCTTTTTATTCGGTGAGTTCACAGAAAAGAAATGCAAGCCCTGATCTCCAAGAAAGTGAAGATAACAGTAAACCAGTTAACCCTGCTGTCTGCCCACCTGCCCACCCCCTCACCTTCCACAGGCTCCTGGGCCCAGGAGCTGACAGATGTGGTCACGACTGAGGTCCTGGCACCAGGATCGGTGCCGCATGACGGGGCAGCAGCCTGTGAACTCTGAGGCCTGGCCAGGAACCATCTGGGATCCAGTGTGTCGGGGGCAAGACGCGGGAGGGGTCAGCAGAGAGCTGCCTTCCGGCGCTGCCTTGACTACCCCCCTCACCTCCCCCAGCCTCCCCAGCTTCTCACTGCCTACCTTCTCCCTCCTAACCTAAGAAGCCCAGATTTTGTGCAATGACAAGGAAAGGGAACAGTCAGTGCCAGGCTTTTAATGAGAGTTGCTTCAGACTGCTAGCCTCCCTGCCAAACAGCCACATGGAGAGTGTTATATGACACCACGCAATCAGCGGGGTCCAGTCTGCGGAGTGTGCACTTGGCACCTGGTGGGGGGTGGGGGGCTGTTTTCCCACCAGAGAGGGGCTGGGCTCAGATTAGTTCACATGGGCCTCAAGGAGCGGCTGCCAAGTGCAGTCTGGGCTTTAGGGAGCTCCTGGACCAGATGGAAATGCCTGCCGGGACCCTTAAAGCAGACTCCAGGGAAGACCTGTAATTGGGTAGGAGAAGGTCTTTGGGAGTCAGGCCAAGCTCTGGAAGGATGATGGTGATGGATGCTACCATGGGGTATGGCCAAGTGAGAGGAGCGAGACGATAATCCTGTCTGTAATGCTTTGCAGTTTACGAGAGCTCTCCACTTACCCTGAACATGCTTAATCCTCGCATCCGTCCCTCATAGGGGACACAGTTGAGAGAAGGGAAGCGACAGTGCCTGGAGGCAAACAGGCAGAAAGCCAGGAGTGGGGCCCCGGGTGGCCTCACACTGCAACCAGCAGTCTCCCCACAAGGTGTGGGGGTGGGCCCCCCAGGAGCCAGAGGAGCAGCCCAGGCGGAGGACAGGTTGCACGCCCCTTCCCCCCAGAGCCACCAGCACGACCCTCACTCAGGGCAGCACCGTGGTGACGCTGGTGAGCAGCACGCGCTCCGAGACTTTGGAGACGGAGCACCGGCTCTGCAAGGACAAGGACTTGTGGCTGGCAGAGGAGCGAGGGCTGGGGGCCTTCAGAGAGGCGCAGGGACCCAGGCCGGGCAGGCAGCAGGAGAAGGCGGCCTTAAACTGCTCCCGGAATTTGCCTTGGTTGAGAGACAGAAGACACAGCCATAAGCAGACAGAGGTGGCCTTCAGCCCAGAAACACCGACATAGTTCCAGCCAAGCTGCCTCTGGCGGGGGTGGGAAGGAAGGGTAGCCCTGGGCAAGAGAGAGCCCCATGGCGACCTCGGCCCCTGCCAGGGAGAGTGAGGATAGGCCCTGGAGCAGATTCCCAAGGAGAAAGGCAATTTTCATCTGATTCCTTGACTGCGCCCTGGCTCTGAGCCCGGCTCAAAACGTGGCGTCTGGCTCAGGGACCTCAGGTCACCACCCTGGCCGGCGTGTAGGTGAAGGGGCTCAGGGCTCACCATCTGCAGCTAGGCTTTGCCCACCTCTGCCCCGTGGTGGTGAAGATGACCGCAGCGGTGGCCCTCGCACGAGGCGCTGTGCCGGGTGCCTGAGCTTGTCATCCAGCTCACCCCAGCACCCCGAGGGGCCCGAGTCCTTCATCTCCTCACTCCACCAATGAGACACACAGGTCCAGTGGCCTGTCACCACGCAGAATTTGGACCCCATTCTAATTCTAAAGCCCTTGGTTAAAGTTGAGGGGTGTGGGGGGCCAGTGGGGAAGGAGGGACCACCACAGCCACCTGTTCAGCCAGAGGACCCCAGGCAATAGACTGTGCTGTAACTGAACAACCATGTTTCATCACTGGCGAGCCACGCTGGTGCCCAGCAGAGGGCTGAGCACACAGCGCTGTGCTTAGTCGCTCAGCTGTGTCCGACTCTCTACGACCCCACAGATTGTAGCCCGGCAGACTCCTCTGTCCATGGGGATTCTCCAGGCAAGAATAACGGAGTGGGTTGCCATGCCCTCCTCCAGGGGATCGCCCCAACAGGGATTGAACCCAGGTCTCCTGCATCGTAGGCAGATTTTTTTTTTTTTTTTTTTACCATCTGAGCTACCAGGGAAGCCCCCAGCACAGAGTAGGCGCTCAGTAAATGTAGAGCACATGAAGGAATGCTCTCCTTCACGTGCTCATCTCTGTTCTCTGAGCCGGAAGCCACTGGCTGCTGCTGCTAAGTCACTTTGGTCGTGTCTGACTCTGTGCGACCCCATAGACAGCAGCCCACCAGGCTCCCCTGTCCCTGGCATTCTCCAGGCAAGAATACTGGAGTGGGTTGCCTTTTCCTTCTCTAGTACACGAAAGTGAAAAGTGAAAGTGAAGTCGCTCAGTCGTGTCCGACTCTTAGCGACCCCATGGACTGCAGCCTACCAGGTTCCTCCGTCCATGGGATTTACCAGGCAGGAGTACTGGAGTGGGGTGCCATTGTCTCTCCGAACCACTGGCTAGCCTTTGTTAAGTAATTCTTTAGTCTCACTGAAGGGTAAAATATTGACCCTGGCCCCTTTAACTTTTCAACTTTTTTGCAAAAGTCGTTTGCGTCCAGGCTTGAAGAGTCATCTGGTCCTCAGGCCTGGTCCAAGTCAGAGGTCTGGTGAGTCACACTCTGCTGAGCCCAGGCCGGGGCCGGGGGTGGGGCCTTTCCGCCCTGAGAGGTAGTGGAAGGAGGTGGGGGCTGTGGGACAGCTGGGAGGGGAGACCTGCAGGGAGAAGGGACCACAGATGCCTGGAGAGGGACAGGGCTGG